GGAAAGCTGCTGGCTTGGCTTGAAATCTATTTGGCTGACCGAGACGCGCGCGTGTGTTGACGGCGCCCTGTCCAAGCCAATTGCAGCTACAAGCGGAGTACCCCAAGGCTCCGTTCTTGGGCCTACTTCATTTTCATTATACGTAAACGATACACCTGAGATCGCGATCAGTAAAATCACTTTATTCGCGGACGAGATCAAGATATGGTCAAGCATACGCACCATTGAAGACAGTCACCGATTACAAAGAGATCTTGACACACTTTATGATTGGTCACTGGAAAACAGATTACCGTTTAACCTCCAAAAATGTAAAACGCTCCGTGCAGAACCACTTTCCTGGACTAGTGAAGAAAAAACCTGGGCGTGTGGGTTAGCAGCTGTGTAAAAATCTCCTTGCAATGCACAGCCGTCTACAAGAGGACCTCACGAGTCCTGTCTCTCATAAAACGGAATTTTGGTCGTTTCACTCGACTGGCACTGCCCCGAGTAATCAGTACCTACATCCGACCAACCATGGAGTACGCCATACAAGCTTGGTGACCATGGCTCCAAAAAGACATAATTTTACAGCGAATATATCATCGAACCACGCAGCTGGTAATTGGATTGCATAATAAACCATACGAAGACAGGATTGCCAGTCTCAACCTATTTGACTTCTTCTATCGGCGCATCAGGGAGACCTAATTCTAACACATAATATACTGAAAACACCTAATCATCCGCTGGAAGATCTTTTTGTCCGACGTCGACCACGAACGGGCAGGACGGATGACTTTTCGCTCGCGGTACCTCACTCGAGGGTGAACTCTCGACGGAACTTTTTTGCGGTCCGTGTATGTTTCATTTGGAACTCCCTACCTCCCAGTGTTGTATATTCGCCGAGTTTAACCATTTTCAAGAACAATTAAGATGCATATCTTATGTCCAAACCGAATCCGGAACTGTTTAACTCCATATGATACTCAGCAAACATCACGCATATTTTTGCGTCCCTTTGTATATATACGTTCACCCTATGGTCGTTGTAAAGTTAACTGCTTTTTAGACCATCAAACCTTGAATTACCTTGAATTACCACGAATATCCGCAAAATTCTGGGACATCTTGCTGAGTACATGTGATTCACAGCACCGCTCAATCGACAGAATCGAATGCACACTCCAAGTCAAGGACCACCAAGATCACTATTAGTTTGGGCATGTAATGTTTCTTCAACACTTGACATACTGCAAAGATGTGGTTGACGGAGTCTCTACCCGTTCAAAATCCCGCGTGATGACCACAAGCCAAGAATTTGCGTTCCGCTGTCTGGTGGCGAAGATCAATGGCGATAGAATCCTTGTTACAAAAAGGCGTTTAGATTAGGTCTAAGAACGAGCTAGAAGATAGCCCGAGTTAGCGAGGATAAACAGCATTCTACTTGCCTAAGAAAAGATGTGGATGAACTGAAATGTAAATGTTTTTCAGACTTCAATGAAGAACCCATCGCCGCTATGAAATTTCAGGATAATCCGGTTGGTCCTCGGAGGACAATGTTAAAGACGGTCCGGATGTTTGGGAGCCCCAGAAGCTACGTTGGTTAGGCCATGTTTTGCGTATGCCGAACCATCGCTTGTCAAATAGGGTGCTGTGTTCCGTGCCAAGTTCAGAGTAGTGGAAGCAGAGAGGTGGCCAACCATTCAGCAGGCAGAGAATTCTGAAAGAGATTGCAAAACGTTTGGGTGCTGTCGGTGCCACTTGCGTTCCAGGATGTGGACCGCGTGATCCGCACTGTGCCTGGATGGAGACGCTGGAAGATGTGGCAGCTAATCAAGTTCAACAGCGTTCTTGTCAGTTTCTATTCAGATTGCCTACATGGGTGTTTGAAGATGTGGGCACGACGGAATGATTTTAGCACCAAATAGCACGCCAAATAATGAAGCGTCTAAGAAGAGATTGGAGAGCTCTGGTGGACTTCGAAAACTCGGAAGATGGAGAGGGCTTTTGCTACGGGTAACAGCCGTGCCCCATATCAACTGAAGCGATCGACTGGCCCTGGGAAAGCAACAGTCAAGGAAACAATATGTGAGAAAGATGGTTCATTAATTTCCTCGCACACAAGCTGACTGGAAAGATGGGCCGAGCAGTTCAGCTAGTGTTGTGGTTTGCTGGACGGTTGTGCAACTATGTCGGTCACTTGGCTTACTGCTCCGCCCACTACGGTATATCAAAAGGCACGGTAGCTCTACACAGCACTTTATGGAGACAAAGGAAAATTAGTACAACTGTATTTATAGGGTAGTCACAGAGTGTTCCACAATGTCGTGCCAGAATCTCCAAGAGGGGGGAGAAACGTCGAGTTACAGGTGCTTGACTCGGATTGGCTGGCATTCTGACCAATCAGAGCATGGCTTCGTTTGGCCCGTGCCCTGCGCGTGACATCCGTCCAAATGATGTGATGTTCGGCTAGTAGGGACGGCTGGCCTCCTGCAACACAGCCGGTGGAGATACTGCGTACGGGCGAATGGAATGTAAACCTTGATCGTCCGTCGGAAGAAGAAATAAAGTACGAATTATCAGTACTGAAATGTGACAGGGCACCAGGACCGGACGGTTTGTATCCAGCCCTCTTCAAAGGTGGAGCTGGTGATCCATCTAAGAAAGCTCACTGGTGCGATACAGAGTGAAGAGTTGCCTGCGGAATGGGGCATGTCGACAGTTATCTCTATCTTCAAAAACAGTATGCGGACGCTGCATGAAAACCACCGCGGCATCAGCGTGGTGGCCTCGGCACCTGAATTGCTCTCTGGCCGTATCCTTCGAAGTTGGTTGAACACAGTGAGGGACAGATCCTTGGAAGCCAAGTCGGTTTTCCCGCTGCAAGAGCATGCACTGATCACATTTCCACCCACCGACAGGCTATGAAACAGCGATACTGCTTCCAACGGCCAACATTGGTTGTCTTCCTTAACTTGAAATCTGTCTTCAACTTTGTGGACCGTCGGGGGCAATGGTAGTCTGTGGAACAAAGGCGTCCGCCGTGTATTCTTGACCCCCTTAAGGCGCTGTACTCCAAATCCTACAGTGTGAAGGTCTACAAGAAGCTCTCGCCTGAGTCCGCCACATCAAGTGGTGACAGGCAGGGCTGTCTTCTTTCACCGCTCCTTTTCAGCGGAACTGAGACGTCTTCAGGTGTTCGACAATCGTTGTCTCAGAACCGTAGCTCGTGTGGGTTGTGGTCGGCGAATCGATAACGAGGCAGTTAGAAAGCGCGTTTTCGGTTGTGTAACGAGTACTTTCATAGAAGAATGTGTCCAGCACCAGAAGCTGCGTTGGTTGGGACATGTCTTGCGTATGCCAAACCATCGTTTGCCGAAAAGAGTGCTGTTTTCCATGCCCAACTCAGAGTGGCGTAAACAGAGAGGTGGCCAACCCTTCACTTGTCAGAGGAGTATGAAGGAGATCACGAAACGCTTGGGTGCTGTCGGTGCTACTCGCCTTCCAGGATGGGGACCGCGTGATCCTCATTGTGCCTGGTTGGAGACACTGCAAGATATGGCTGCCAACTGATGTCAGTGGCGTTCTTGTTGTCAGTTTCTATCCAGATTGCCTGAGTGAATGTCTGGAGGTGTAGGCACCTCGGGATGATGGTGTTGAGCTAGCACTAAGTCCTTTCCCTGTCCACCTTTACTCTTTTCTTTACAATAAGGCTTTCAACTAAATCATGTATGTACGGCAGTGAAGCATCGGTGTTGAACACTGATGTCATGCTGTCGATGATGGTGATGATGATGACTTCAACTTCGTCATTGATACGATCATGGAAGACTCATTAACAGCTTCTAATGCCTGTAGGGTCGAAGTGCTCCCGGGGCTTCTGCTCACAGACATCGAGTACGCAGACGACAGCTCTTCTTGGATCTGACCCCGTGGTAATGCAAACAATATTGAATAATTTAACTAATTATGCGCCACATTTCAGCAAGCGCTTCACACATGCAAGGTTATAGTGCTACTGCAAGACTGGTGAGGCTCGAACCCTAGCGTCATGCTTGCGGATGAACCGATTGAAGTGGTAGACAAATTTTTTTACCAGGGTAGCTGTATCACTCCCAGTGGTCACACGAAAGTGGATATTTCCATCCGGATTAGGAAGGTCAGAGCAGCTTTTGTGAACTTGCGCCACCTGTGGTGTAGGTGTGACATAAGCTTAACCGTCAGGGGTCGAGTTTCCAATGCTGCTGTGGGCTCCATATTACTATGTGGGTCGGAAACCTGGCCGCTGCGCTCCGAGGACGTCAAAACACTTTCAGTGTTTGACCATCGATGTCTTCGGAGCATTGCCCGAGTCTGGTGGGAACACCAGATCAGTAATGCTGAAGTTCGTCGAATAGTTTTCGGAGAAAATAACTCTCCAACGATAGATGAACTGATCACTCTCCGCATGTTGCACTGGATTGGCCGCTTGCCCCGTATGCCAGTCGACCGACTTGCTCGAAGGGTTCTTTTCGCACAGTCACGTGAAAACGAGCCAGTGGAGGTCAAACAAGGACTTTGCAGCGAACTGTAAGAGCCAGCAAACTCAGCCGCGCTGGTCATTGTTGTCTTCCTAGATGGAGACCCCGAGACGGGCCACTCCGATAATTAGAGACACTGTCAGACGGCCCAGTCGCGCCCTAAATAGCGCTCGTTTATTCAATGCACACCTCCCTTCCCAATTCCCCAACTTAACAGTCCACTGACAGTGCTGTATTTACACACCAATTTATCAGCTCCCGCCTCCAATGCGCAGCTGCCTACCAAACTTCCCCAAACTTTGGCAGCTAACACTACCGTACAACGAGTACGCGGTTCTTTACAGCTGATAATGATGCCTGGACAATGCAGCTGAATCACCAAATTCATATGACCCCGACATCTGATTTATCCAGGCTCCAGCAACGTACATGACCCTCCATATTAAGAAACCGAGAAACCCGACCGCATTTTCCACTACCCATTGATAGATTTTTACAATGAACCTTCATTCAGTCCTCCTGTTCGAGTTACCCCTTTCCACACGCACTCCAACGGCCCGGGTGAATGTCATGGCCATCTTTTGTGTCCGCATTATCGCCTATATTAACTATGTCTCGCCTTAACTTTCAGATTATGTGCGTCCATCTTTGGACAAGCAAAGCGCTATTCATTCTATACGATTCCATCTTGTTCTTGCTTCTAGACTCCAACAGTTTCAACGACGGTAAGTGTGGTTTCTTGAACCTTTCTCCAATCGTCTTCAAAACTGCCGGTACAACCATCGTACTCGTCGAGCTCTGGAAGCTTCTGAGTCAACTCAGCGCGATATGGTTGAGCTACAGAGACACTTTTCAGGTACAGAGCTGAATGGCCTTGTGTCCACCAACATGTTATAGAGGGCAAGCGATTAGATATGCCTTCCCCAACAGTGCAGTGTTCGAAATCAGGGGGTGTACTCCAAAATGAGCCCCAACCTTTATCGAAGCTCTCCACTAGTACCTGGTTGCCTTATGATCCAACTGAGTCAACAGCTAGTTTGCGGCTAATGGCCCCCAAGTCACACGTTGTGAGCACTTGTGCTGAAAGTTTGTGCTAAGAAAAAAGCAAGTGGTGTTCACCGTGTATCTGTAGAAGTCGCTGGACATTATTTGTGAGGTGACGATCAACCTCGATTCGGCCGCCAAGATGTGAGCTCTCTCAGAACTTAGTCGGCCAACTTGAATATTTTCATCACTTGCTTCAATCACTGTATCTGTACTTCTCGCTAGCTGAATCAGCCGTGGCGAATCTCGATAGAGGCTGTCTTCCTCAGTCTCGGAGCTGCCGTCTGTCGTCGAAATGCGTTAATCTTGATTGAGCCAGTCAACGTAACCGTGAAAAGGTGATTACTAACTGGCAGAGCGTACTCGGCCCTGGATCTAAGCACAACCCCCACACCCTAGGTACACCGAGCCATTGAATCATGATCACCAAACACTCTAGGAGAAAATGGCGAGGAATCTGGGTTCGACCAGATCGGCGCCATCATCAGCCGTAACAACCGCGGACTTGTCGTACAGTGGTTATGATTGTCATTTTCGTCCACCGATGAGGTGGAGTAGGCAGCTGCGCATTGGAGACGGTAGCAGATATAACTGATACGTAAATACTGTTTTTAGTGGACTTTTTATTGGGGAGATTTGGAGGGGAGCTATGCATTGAAGGCAATAGCTTGACTAAACGAACGCCATTGAGGGCGCGACTGGGCCATGTCTGACAATGTGTCCAACCATCAGTGTCCCTGCTCGGGGTCCCCATCCTTGGAAACTGCAATGATCAACGCATCTGAGTTTGCTGGTAATGATTTTCGTATTTCGTTGCCAAGTCATCGTTTGACCTTTCCCGGTTGACCTTCACGTGGTTGTGCAAAAAAGAGCCCGGAGCGGCGTCAGAATGAATTCTACGCGAGTACGCATGTTGAAAGCCGCCACTTGGATAAAATCCCTGGAATTCTATAGGGTTTCTTTTGAGTACCTGATAGAACAGCGGTTGGGTAATTGACAGCTGAGTGGATCAGAAGGACTTCGTTTAGAGACATGTAGCGAGTAGTCAGTGAACGAAGAGCTGTAAGGGTGAATGACACTTCCCGGGTTGCCCGGGCCAAAGAAAGTTTGATTTGGATACCCTACCTTGAGGCTTTGACTCAAAAGTCTGACCCACAATGGAATGGGAGGATGTAGTGCTTCTTTCGGGGACCCTTATAAGCTATGACTAAGAAACCTGAACCGCGAGACAGTGATTACTGGGGTTTTCTTCCGGGGCCAGTGACTCAATAGTCTGACCCACTGAGCTGCAGGGAGCTGGTCTGACTCTTGGGCGTGAGGATCAAGGCATAAATATCTGACTCTTGACACGGTTGCCTACAGAAAGGGCCCTCTGAGTAGCACCAGACTCGGTGGTTTAAGAAGTATTCTAACCATACTGAATAATCCACCGGTGGTCACAGTTGGCCGTTGGACAATCAGGTTGTGCGGTTCCCCCACATTCCTATCTCAGGGGACAGTACCTATTTATTTGCAGACCGCCTCGTAATACGATTTCTCGTAGTACCGGGGTTTGCTGTCCTTCGGTGGGCTCCCTCCGTTTGCCATTCTGGTGAGGTTAGATTTTTAGGAACTGGGTTGCAGGCAATATAGCCCACAGGATCATTGCAACACATAAGACGACCGCGACGACAAGGTGGCAGCTATAAGTCACTTCAGAGAGTGTAATGAATGTTGTTGTTCACAACTCGTAATTCTCTGATTTTAGCTAACGCCTCACCACGATTGCTGTGTATTACTGTTTTTCTCTCGCGGAGTGATGCTGTTCCCCAGAAACAATACATGCTTCAGAACTCGTTGGGACGTTATTTTATGGCTAGTGTGCCTCTATACTGTGGTGCAGTTAACCATGTCACAAGTAAGCGAAAACTTATGTTGAATTCGTACAGAGAGTCCCATCTGTGTCTCAGAAGGTTGACTTAGATGAGTTTCTTGATTCGTTCTCGTCATACAACATGTACACAGTTACTCAGAAAGCCACAAACGGTAGTGTTCTGGCCTATGTAACACCGGTAAGTTGCATCTTAACAGTGCGGTTTAATATGGTGCATATAGTGGAATAAGCGGGGTTTCGAGCTAGCGGAAACGTTCGCATCCAAGTTCACCCTTATCTCCCCAGTGTGGTTCCAGGTACTCGGGAGGAAAAAGGCATATAGTGTCACAGGACTACCAGAAGTCAATAAAGGTGGGACTTCGTCCGTAATTTCACATTTCCAGACTGGATGGCACGCCTGAAGTCGATCAACCCCAGTATAAAAATCGTACCTCGCTTCGACTTCCGCGAATGGCAAGCTTCAGACTTTGCAGACACGCTGGGTGATCGCTCTGCGGCGGAACAATGTCTGGCAAACGTCTTGCGAATTCTTAAAGTAATCGTCCATTTTTCTAAAACGAATTTTACTGGTTCCAAAAGGCTTACCAACCACAGGCTCTAGCGACCTCTGGTTGCGATTTTATCATACAGTGTATTCGCTCTATTTTATTCGCAGTAGCAATCCTGTGACACTACTCGTGACCACCATTGACACCAATACCAGTGCCGGAGCACTAGTACTTCGCCTCTGTAGCACCATGTCAAGGCACTCGAAAAAGACCTTTGATGTGTAAGGTGAAAATAGGCAGGGAAATAGCCAAATGCTGGTTTCGTTCTCTTCATATTTTGCCCTTATCTCTAAGATAAAATGAAGCGATTACCCTTGGCTGGCACGCATCCGATTAGTCATGCTAATACTCAGCCTATCTCATTTTTTTTCGGTTGCTTCCTATGGCATTACTCCCCCTGCCTAGGTTTAGACAGCCTGGTAGCCTTTTAGCCCTCATGCTTCCTTCGGATGGCGTGGCATTCTTATTGTTCTTATTACTATATCGGAAACAAAATTTAAGCGCGGCATGTGGTAGTGTTTTTTTTTAAGTTGGCGATGCAGCTGGCACCTTCTGGAGGGACGGCGAACACTTTGACTGATTCCTTGAATTTTCTTCAAGCACGGAGTAGTACGTCACACGCGCCGTTTCCCCGAAGGTTCTGTTACTAAGTGCCTGGTCTACCATTTAGGTTACGCGCAAGCTTGTTCCCGAATTCTAGAATGCCGAAGCCTGACGTCCACCTCTTAGTCACGCGCTTATTGCATGAATCCGAATGGGCGATCCACTGTCGGACAGGTCAGTGTTGGCTGGAAATTCGGCCCCTTCAATTAGCCATAGGGTTCTAGACTTTCACCACGGACTGTTTTCTGTTTATGTTTTAACAGCGTTATTCTTTACGGGGAATGAGTGTAAAGCGGATGTATATCTCATTCTGCTGCAATACGTAACAGAAAACTATCCCATTAGGTTTCAATGCGTGCCATTCCAACAGTAGTTCGTCGTTTTTAAATTAGACTTCTTTCAGGTCTATCTTGGCCCAAACTGGATGAAGTTCGAACTACTCTGCGGCGTATAGTTTTTGTGACTCCTACGTAAGCGCGCGTTGTCCCTAATCCTCTGAACATATTTTAGCTTGTTTTCTATTTAGTATTTTTTTTAATCACCGTTGGCATTTTTCTCGACTTCGTCTAATTTTCCGTACATAGCACTATGAACTCGACGGTGCCGTTATCGAACTCTGGTCCTTCTTTGTTGGGGCCCCCGAAGAGTCAGTTACTCTGTCTTAGATTAAACTCCAAATAATCCAGATCACTGCATAACTTCATTGAACTTATTGGACAGTCGCTTCGAGATATCAACATGGTTACTGTTCTTGTCATTCCGCCTCCCGTCTATCGTGGGTAAGCACATTTCTCTCACTTATCACTTTTCCTCCAGTGAACTACCTGGTCGATTTACGAAGAAGCAGTTTGAGAGGCTACGAAACCATGTTGATTACTTCAGCCTCATGACCTACGACTACTCACCACCGTCAGGGTGCGTTTCGTCGCGTGAGATACCCGCTCTCTTGACTGCTACTTTATTTTTACAAATGAATTTCTGAATGCTCAGTACAGTACTCCCGGGAAAAAACCACCATAGCCCGACGGTGTAGTCTCTAGAACCCTGCACTGTCGACCCATCAACCATTGCTGAAATCAACAACATTATCTGTAAGAGTAAAAAGTATTTTTTACATCCTTATTCATAAAGTGACATCGACACTTTAAAGGCTGAACGGCAGCCAATCTGAGGGCCCACCCGTGTTGGAATCCTTACTCGTATCATCCAAAGAGAAGGTCCCATCATCACTCGTTGTCCTAACACTGATGATATCAATGGAATACCTATGGCTATTTACGGGAGACATCGATTTGTCCAAGATCACTTATCGTGCAAGTAGTCTGCCTCCGGCGCACCTCGCATTGGTGTCAGATAGGCTGTCCGCCCCCCAATCAAACGTCCCGGTGCAATAGAGAACCATTAGTAAATTCGCAAACAGCAACGTAAGCTTATTTCTGCACTGGCACAAGGTACCTATTAAATTATATGTAAGCTGCGCATTTCAAGAATTCCTGTTCGTAGCATCTTCGATGCTGGATTGACAAAATGAGGCGCACCATTTCAAGAATTCCTGTTCGTAGCATCTTTCTTCGATGCTGGGTTGACAAAATGAGGCCCATGCCAAGTCACGTAGCATGATTATCTAGATTAGTTTGGAGTAATTTTTATTTCCAAAGGTCCTTTTCTAGCATTGCAGTGTCATCCGCAAACCGCGTTTCAGCACCAAAGTTACCCAAGACAGGTTACTTACCAACCTCGTGGTAACATGCCGGTGAAAAAGCTATCGACAATGCCATACGTATGCTGTTGTGATTGACACTGAACCTGTCCATAATATTGTAGGAAAATGCTTGAAAGGTGTGGTGTAAGCTCATTCAACCGGAGCGACGATCAACAATAACTACTCGCAAAATTTGGCATAAACCACTGGTATGCGGACTACAGTTTTAGTAGCTCAGTCTACGTAGTCGATAGTCGAGTTGTTCATTGAGTTTGCCGTTTTTTCTTACCAACATCTCACCACCAATCAAGGTGATATAGCCACTTCGTGTTGCAGCAGCGTTTGTGAAACATTACCATGTCACCGACATAAACCGTTGGCAAAATACTGACAAACTTAACCTCACCCTCGGTGCAAACGTAAGTTGTCTTTGGATGGACTGGGTAGTCGCAGTCTAAGCCACTCAAGTTTTGAGGGCGTCCACTTATCGTGTTCTGTCCCTTTTCACTTCAGGCCTGGTCCAAACAGTCCGATCAATTGGGTGGAGAAGTGTATTCTTCATTTGGTACCGCACGGTTCACATAAGGCAGCTGAGAAACGAGCACAAATTCTTACGGGATTCAACTTCTATGGACTGCACCACATCCCTGAGCGACGGTTTGGTGATTATATTTTGGGGCACCAGTGAGTTCTTGTTGATCATTCGTTGGGATTCTGCTCAAACAGATGTTATCCTAAATGGAGACTATTGTTCTACACGCCTTAATTAAACATATATGATCTCAGCATCACCAACATTTTTATCGGTAATTCATTGTTGACCAACCACATAACGTTCAAAAAGCCGTGTAATGAAAAGAATAACAAAAACAAAAGCGGAAAAAACATGTCTGATGAGGCAAAGTAAGATATCTTTAAATATCTATTGTTTCCTATTAGATATGTTTACAGGTCCGTGGTTTCTCCACTTCTGCCCCACAGTGCTTTGAGTATATGTACTCAACAGTAGAATTCTTCCTTTTATAACTCTTTTTTAAACGGAAGACTCAATCCCATTCACGTTTGATGAGTCGGCTACACGGTGCTAACCAGTAAATACTTTACTTTCGTATGAAGTCTGCGTTCTGCAGGTCGTGGCTCAAGAAATGACGGCCACTAAGAAAGTGGACGTCGCCCAGTTGCCTTCCCAATATTCCTCTTACCTCCAATCTGGACTACCAGCCATCAGCAGAGAGGTGGAATGTGAATATAGAGTTCTCTCCGACTGTATATCTCTACTCAAACGTCATTGTGTAGCTAATCCTGACGACCTTCTATCTACTCTATTCGAGGATGGCGATGAACTCTTCAGCCAGTGTCCATCTAGCCCATTTGCGTGTATCTGGGGGAAATAGACCATCCCAGGTATCTGGGGTGATTGGATAATAGTACCCATCTTCAAAAAGGGTAGTGGCAGTGTGTGACAACCACAGGGACGTCATTTTGGCTCCCTTCGTAACAAGGTGTCTGGCGCCTCGAACTCTTTGTCGCTAGACTGAGAAACGCAAATCCTTGACTCGTGAACATCAAGCGGGATTTCGAACTGGGAGAGACTGTCAACCACATCTTCGCACTCTGTCAGGTATTGGAACAACATTATCTGCACAGACGACCAGCAATCTAGGTATCACTTGACTTAGATTATGTATTCGATTCTGTCGATTGATCAGTGCTGTTAACCACAATTGCTCAGCAGGAGGTGTCCCAGAATTTTGCAGATATAATCCGGTTCCTATGCTCACATACTTTTGGGCGTGTAAGAGTATACATCAAGCCCTCAAAGCTTCCCGACAAAATTAGGGTCAATGTGGTGTTCTGTTCGTGTTCAAATTTGTCGTTGATGAAATAATGGGGCGAACATTGGAAGGTTTTCAAAACCAGTGTCCAAGTTGTTGTCAACGTTCAGAACGTGGACGACGTCGTCCTTATCTTTCAAGACAAAGGATCCTTCATAATGGTCCACACTGCGAGATGAACAGTGTATGACTTAGCATAGGTGTGAAAGAGAAGTTAGAACCTTCTAGTGTGATCAGCCTTCCAGAATGGAGCCCCCTTGAGCTTGGCTGTGGACATAGCAAGAAACGGCGACTACTCGACGTCAGTGGCGTTGCAGGTTGTACGTCTGCTAAGCATCAATATCAACGCTTATGTTGCTCTGTGTTCTGAAGGTTTGATACTTCTAAGGTAACACCTCGATGGGTTCCATTTTTTTATCCAATTGACTAAGAACACCTCTGACTGTATAATCGAAAATGACCTGTAGAATACATCTGCTTGGCTAGGCAAGCTGGAAGAACCATCGCATGTTCAGCGTAAGATCCCTACTTTTAGTTGTTTCCTCTCACTCATGTGTATTTCCGAATTCCCGTCAGCAAAAGCGAAAAAAAACGGCGGATGCAGTTGACCACGACTGTAATGTCCAAATTGCCAGGTCTTCCAAATATTGCACGGATAGGTTAGAGATGGGCACTTTCATAAATACAAAGGTGGTTGATATTAAAGTCTTGAACGTGAGCTACTATCTAGGGAAGGTTGAACAATACCTGGCTGGTGGAATATACGTGATTGCGTGTACTACTACTCCATTGTCCATAAGGGACAAACGACCAAAACAAATAAGCCAAGAAACAATCAGGTACCGAGCACCAGTAGAAGATTCTAGAATGATAGGACACGAAAATGATGAGATTTTCAGAAGGGGTCTAAGGTTCACTCCACAGTGACTGACCAGTGGTGACCAAATCACCAAGCTTTCCAGTGTGGGCAAGGGTGTAAAGCTGGTTTGTGAGTGCACAGTGGTTTTGTTAGCGAAGTCGGCACATGGCTTCAGTGTAAAGACCAAGCCCGGAACCACTAATTTCATGCACAGAGCGTTCTCGTGAATTGTTCAGTTGGATTCAGTCGCTGGTTGATTTTTCCTTAGGACCTAACGAGTAGTTGGTCGCGGGAATTTGATCATTTTACAGCACACTGTATTTAACTGAATTATTAGAGTATTGCTTGAATATTCCCATAGTTTCAACGAGAGCCCAATGGCAGGCCGATCGTCGGTGGTTCCTAATTTGGTGACCGATCTTGACTGCTTATTCCACTATTTACTTCTATTTTAACCATCAGATATGTACTAACCTGATGACGAGATGCCGAAAACATTAGTAACTTTGTGATAACATTATTAATTTTACTCCAAAGAAAACGGGATTAAACAAGGAACTGTGCAGCAGATGTACGTTTAGCGTGGATATTTCACACTTTAGAATTGCCAGTTTAGCTTAATATACCTTTTCGGGACAGCATATTGAGTTGATATCGACGTGAGATTAGCTCTTTGGTAATCGTTCGGTGTTTGAACTATGGAAGTAGAGATGGAAAGTCCTAAATCTGCACGCGCTCTTGGTATGTAGCCCCGCTAGTGTACAATGACTGGGCCGCAATCTTTTACGTCAACCCAGTTTTCGTCATTGGGTCTAAACAGCCGTGTGTGGAAGGCGAATGTTCTAATCAATATAAATGAGACTTTGATGTTCTCGAGGATAGATGTTTGTGATTCTAGCCTAACGGTCCTCTTGCTGTCAGTTACTGTCCGGATCAACTGTGTTCTGGAGTGTAGTGTATGGTAAGTGGGCACCGACCACCTCATTCCGATTTCGGTCTTCTGTTTATTGCAAGGTTCACTCACATGAGCTGACAGGGTTGCAGGTGAGTTGAGCACTTATTTTCTCATACTGGTATTGCTGTCAAAGCCTATGTAGGCTTTCGACGCTATCCTTATAAGGACGTCATTGGGTAGTTGCGATTAATTATTAAATACTTCCTGTACGAGGAGCTGACCGCATTTTCATGGCGCGCTGGTGGCTTTTGGTGTACTCTCGTTTGACGAATATGACTCTCTGTACAGTAACTTTCTATCATAACTAGGGTCTTGCGGAATGTCCCTATCCCGTTAGGAAATTGAGTTCTCGAAAGCGTATGACCAACATCATGGAAGGAGGTTATGGTCCGCGATCGCAATAAACTGCCTCAGTTCCATAGGCTCTCTATTTGGGCTTTTCAGGACGTCCCGCACCACACAGGCCAGTTATTTCGTACCACTTGATTTATGTTTTTTCTTCATTCTTTAGATTTGTGCACATAGTCAATCAATCACGAGCAGATTTCATATGGGACTCTACAGCGTCGGAGCACTATTTGAAATTCCGGTGAGGGCCTGGACCAGTTCGTATTTCGGTACACTGATTTATGCATCCAGTGTTTCACTTTTCGGATGCCCTCAGAAAGGTGTACATATCTACTAAGCGTAGATTGTCGGTACCGTCTTATATGGAAGTAGAGTCCACATGAGTCAATCAGTCACAAGCCATGTAAACGTATATGTTGGTTCCATCTGCCACACTTTCGGTCATTGAAGAATGGGAGAACAGGGAAGGTATACCCATACATTGGGGTAATAACCTGAAAAATTAGCTGATGGTGAGTCCTACTTGTCCGAGGAAGCTCGAAGTAGGGTAGCTGTGTGGTGATCCGTAAGCTCCATTTACTACGTGGCTGAATCATGTTTGTCAAGGTCTTTAACTATTGGTCGATTCCCGGGTTCTACATTCAGAGTGACGGCACTTGCCATCCCTACTGGTTAGGGCTTTCATACTTCGTTTCTTGATCACAGGCTGCCTACCTCGGTCGTTTTCACTAAGTGCATGGCTGGACAAGGAGAGTTGTGCGATGGAGATGGTCCTGTGACGTACGAAGTACATACACTAATCAGCTTAATCTTTGACGCATGATTACCTTGTCCATCACGGGAGGTGTTCCTCAAACCATACGGCAGACAAGTTGAAAATGGCGCCTTAGGCGTCGAAGGCTGGTAAAAGATGCCATGGACTTCTTATAGGAGCAGTTTTACTTTGAAGGTGTGAAGTGCATACCAAACTGTGCAGCAGAATTACTTAGGGCTCCAAACCAAAAACAGCAGTATTATCTGTGAGCGCACGCATCTATGACCCTGAGAAGGCAAGCAGAGGAATCGTTAGCGGCACATCAATGAAAAAGTTGAAGAGAAACGGAGGGAAAACGGCTTTATTTTATCACAAATGGACGCGGTAAACTTGGGAAAAATCTTACCGATTACCCGTGCGCGATTACAGGAACCGACATACATGGCAACTTTGACCATTAGATTCTGACGACCGACAAACCAAAGGTAGATTTTACGGCAATAAGAGAAATCACTATTGGATGTCTGAAATTGTGTCGTTGCCCGAGTCTCAAAGAGACTCGGCTAGCGATGGCCAACGCATTCCTGGTCAAGAAAAATAGTTCGGCTGTAGCACCCTTTCGGTGCCCAGCTGCCATACCACCCGAAGAAGCACGAGGGCTAGGATACTGCCCAAGCCCAGACACGAGAAGTCGAGATGCAGAGGTCGGGTTCGAAACACGGATTTTCCGGTCAGTGATTCGCGCTCTAACCACACCCATCTCGCTGTCAAGATAAAATCCAACTTGATCCTCACAAGTAATCGACCAACTTGCGCCGCATATAGCACTGCGGCTACCATATTGATGTCAGGATTTTCACAATGTTCTTGCACCATTTGTAGAGAGTGTAGTCATCATCGATTAGCCCTATTCCACCGGTATTCTGTTCTTTCTAGCTAGTTAGTAGTAGGTTCTTAACCGGCTTTGAAAAACAAGTGGTACATACCATTCGGGCTGGGCGCCTTGTTGAGTCGAAGGATTTCCGTTGTTGACGAGACACTCCTACCATCATTCCATTAAAGTTCATTGAGTTCTTGAAGTTGTTCTATTCGATGCTCTTTCCTAATTCAATGACACACACCCTTTTCTAGCCAGTTGGTCGAATCGGCGGAAATGTCTAATTTTGTAAAATTTGCATCTATGGCGTTTTAACGGACCGAAAGCAACCCGCGTTTTTGGCTAGCATCCGTGCAAACAATCCTCACCACGGGGATCGGAAGTGTTCCGGGCAATTTTTATCCAGTGCTAGTCACTGGAGAGTGGCACAACTGCCTATTGCCTCCAAACACCGGATCAAATTTTCCATAATTTCGCAAAGGTAGCAGTCCTCACGGTGTTGCTTTCCCAAGGAATATCAGGTCAACAAACTGCACAAACCCTTACCATTAAAGAAGATAGTCAATGAGCTGTAACACCCTTTCGGTGCCTAGCTGCTATGCCACCAGAAGGAAGCACGAGGGCCGGGATACTGCCCAAGCTACATGGTTTTCTTACCATTGTCCACGTTTCGGGATGTGCTGAGATAACGGAGCATTTGAAATGACAATTTGGGCGACGCTTCCAGACCTCGCTATGGACCTGCTCATTTGTTTCCATGTTTAATTCATAAGTGTCAGAGCGAGGCACTTATCGTTTCTTGGGAATTCTCAGTGTGACTGTCACTGCTCATTGGATTAAAGCGGTTATGATATTCGGAGACGCGCCTGATGTTTTTATCTAACTTTTGATAACATTATCAAGTTGAAAACGATACTTTAATACATATGGTTAATCAACTCGTGAAAGTACATACTCGCCTTTGGTAAACTGATACGAGGCTGCTATCTGTGGACTCGAACGGCAAGCCCCCGTTCCTATGCATTCCTATCGAACGTGGACATTCCGTATCAGCCACACGAGCAGTATGTTAATTACAATTGATTGATTTGTCATACACTGAGGCCCTGACCCAAGCATTTTCGTTTTGTACTCCCTGTGGCTATTTTGTGGCCTGGTCCCACAGATTTCAGGTTGGATGAGCGCCACGACTGAACGGTTTGCTTTTCGACTCTCGGTTTCTAATAGTCTTAATATTTATTTTCACTTCTAGAGATGAAAACGGCCACGAAAATTTTGTGTACTATCCAACCGTCGCGTCCATTTCACGCAGAATAGATCTTGTGGAGCACCTGGGTACGGGAATATCTATCTGGGAAATTGGCCAAGGACTCGACAGCTTTTTCTCCTTGTTTTGAAACCGCGTTAAGTGGTGATTTTATCTTTTTTAAACCATTTGCTGTGCTATAATTCCTTATTGTTTGTATGTTAGCTGAACAGCAATTAAAACATCCGGTTGTCACTTGGCATGTTTCGTCTGATAAACACGGTCCTGGTGCTTTGATTGGAGCCCATACAACGAGGGTTTAACTACATAATGTTTCGTTTTCAAACACAGTCCCCCACATAGGCAAAATCTATATTAGTGACATGATGGTCAGTCAGTTTGGTACAGAAAACCACGAGCTATGTACAGAATGAAGTGTTTTAGTCATTTGTTATAAGATTGCGGTTTGATGCATATCCAATGATTTGGTGGCACGTAGGACCGGCGTTGGGATTTGTCATCGTACGGTATATGCCATCCGGTACTCAAGGATCCATGTACACGCGTATCACACTGAATTGGTTCCTAATTGTGTTGAGAAAAAGAGAATTATCGGTAGCCGTATACAGATTACAAGTTAATAGCTCGTAAGCAAGGAAAGCGACGAGTGATATGTTATTCTGACGTATGGGTAGTGTACACACTCACAATTCACTCCATCAAATGGACCTTGAACCGTAGCATTCATCACTGCATAACAAAGTGCGAGTCAATCAGTGGGTAGGGTTGAGATGTACATTCAGTAGACTTAAGTCGGTTGCTAGGGTTGTGCAGCCACCGTGATCTTCAGGTGGCTGAAAGGTGTAGTGTTTGGAATTTTAATGCATCTGATAGAGCGCCCGGTGAAGAGGCGAACGCTATGATTTTGCTTAGATGATGATCAACAGAGAATAAAGCATGCTCTTTATAAACTGTTCGCTTCGCGTTGTACGCGCCAAAATTAAACTCAGTCGATGCTTCTCGGGCTGCCCACGCAGAACGGTCTTACTCAACCCCTAGCTGAGTTCGTGAATGGTCAGAAATCCGAATCTGTCGATTTTCGATTGCTCCCACTTAGGCTTCGTCCCCGCAATATGTTCGGATACATGAGAGCTGTGCACCGAACGAGCGCCACATCCTAAAATTTTGCTTTTCGTTCGAATTTTAGTCTATAAGTGCATTCAGGTGGGGCTTGTGCACTAGTGCCAAAGGCGCAGCGTAAGCAGCAATTGATCCAACTTGTTATTGAAGGTAATATACTACGTTTTGGAAAGGGTAACTCACCAAAAGCAGTTGTCGACGCTGCTGGCAGTTTAAGGCAATCTGACGAGTCGCCTGCCACTGAGATATCCGCATTCCTAAATCGAAACCCACAGTAAATCTGTGTTGTTTGAACTCGTCATTCGAAACCAGGTGGCAGCGTGGTCCCGACCAGAGGGCAATATACAGCATGAAAATATCATCGTCGCTTCTGGAAACCGGAAATGGGGTAATGGAGTTCAGATGTGATATATCTGTCGTTTGGAGATTACACAAATGCCAAACGGTTGTCTCAAAAAGAACCTTATATCCACTACTTCAGATAGAACAGAAGTCGTCTAGAACACCATTGAAGTCCTAAACACTTGACTGAGACATTATTCATGACAGGTTTCTAGCGTTCTGTTGGTAAACATTTAATTAGTCTCCAAACGAACTCCCAGGTCTGGAACAATGCAAGAACACATCACACAGATAGACTACAAAGTCAAAAGCTACGGGAATGAACTCCACCCTCCGGCGAATGAGTGCGTTTACTACCTAAAACAATCAATGAAATACTGAACTGTTGCGCTGGAAAACAGGAAAGTCTTGTTTACTGTATTGTTTATTATCCACTTGAACCACACATGATGTAATTATCGTCTCACTGGTTGGTAGATAGTCAGCGCCGTCGTTTTGTCAAGAACCAACACCTTACCTTGCAGGACGTCTATCCCACGAAAACTGGTTTGGATTCTGGGTTTCCGCAACAAGACATCACAACAGTGACCTACTGAACACTTGTTCACTCATAATTCCCAGCCACGTCCTGCGACACAGGCCAGCCATACAGCACTGTTGCTTGAATCTGAAAATTATTATCCGCTTCATGCCGAACATGTCCGGTTTGCCCAACAAAGAACTGTTACTTGTCCAACATACAAGTGGGTTAAAGGACTAGCGACTCAACCGTGATACTCAAATGAAACTAACTGCCAGACGAAACAACCAAGAGACAGGAAACCTCCTGGAAGCATATCAGTGAAGGTCACAGCGTGGAGCTCGGATAGGTCAAGGTCAAAACCCACTAGAAACGATCAGTGGATGGGATCGTTAGGAACCGACCTCAAAGGTCACAAGGGCATGGGCCGACCAGAACGATGGCCAACGTGCCAACCAATTGAATCGCCCAAACAATCCAAGTCAATGTTGTCCAGCAGCATGTATATTACCACACGCACAACCACTAACACACTGCTACGCTGCGCTTCTGAAAGACGCATTGATGATGTCACATTGATTGGCGAAGCGTTTGAAATTAACTTACACAGCTCAGCAAACGAACCAACGACCAGGACTAGCTTTCTTTTTGGCTCCCGAATTCCGGGACTCACCCGAAGTGAGAGTGTGTGGGTTTTCTTGTCAATTTTGGACCGAATTCAAGGGAAGGTGAGTCACCTCACTTCCTCAGTAGTAGAAAGTCCCAGATTCTTGCCAACATCGGGTTGCAGCAACCCTTCACCTATTTTATCACTGGCGTCATAGTAAATTTTCCCCCCAACTGGCCTGTTCTAAGTGGTAAGGCACCGCTGCTGGATGGACCTTTCGACTACTTCTTCAAACCTTCAAATGTTTAAACTTTGAAACATCCCAAAATATCTAAAAAACCAGCCATTTTACAAGCTAAAACTCCTTCAGACTCTGCCTGGCAGGTTGCTCTGAAAGCCAACTTGATGGTTCGTTTACCTGTTCTTGGTGTGTATTTCTACTTACTGTGTCCCTCACCATGGGGCCACCGTCCTCCTGTAAACCGTTAACATCTAGCAAAACCGCTGTTTACCTTTGGTCTGTGATGAAAGTGAACACAGATATGCCAAGCTGGTTCCCCAGCGTTTTCACGGCCCTCCAAAAGGTCTTGTTCCCCACGACCCTCGTTCCCTTTCCAACCAAACAGAATCGGTGGAAACCGAATCGCCTGTTCAAATTCCGCAATACCTGAAAGAAAAGAAGATGAAGGATATGAGCAACTGATGAGCACATTCGTAATGGAAGGAAATTCAGGCTAGATTCAAGAACGCAAGACTGGATACTGACTGTCCGGAACAAGAAAGCCGTGTTCAAGCCCTCCGTTAAATTCTAGCGGATGCGAAGAGATACCTGCTCAGCGCACTTTTTTAACCTTGAAGGTCCCGACATCTAAGTGCAGTGCTCTCCTTACGAGAAAGCACCCTCGTAAGATGATTAAACATATGAGGGCGAAAGCCTATCCCGTACTTCACGGTAGTTATAAGCCCAAAGGAACGCCGACAAGAAGTAGAGCTGATGCATGTCAAAACCCTTATGTAGCAAACATGCATAGCAATCAGCATGTTAGAAATAGATCAATTTCACAGACCAATGTGGCAAATTGACTGAACCAATCACACCCTGCTATACAAGTTTTGCACAAACCAAGGAGTTATTTACTAACGCATAACAAGGTATACAGTTTCGCTTGTTGGGAATGAAACCTAAACATGATTTGAGGGTTGAAGTGAGGAGGCTGAAATCCGACGCTGGACTATTGGGACAAAAGGCAGATAAATTTATAGCTTTTCCTTGACGTGAAGAACCACATGTATTTTAGGGACAGCTGAATTTAAATAGATAGCCTTGATGAGGTTCATTGTATCTATTGTAGAGTCAGCACAAATCACTATCACTTACCTCACAGACCAGCCGATGGGCTTTCTCTGGGACAAACGCCGCATCCATAATGTGTATGACATTCATGATGTCGATAACGCAATCGAAAGGCATCGTTTGTTCGTTCAAAAACTTGTCTAGAGTGCTTAGTTCCTTGGGTGTTGTTGTCAGGTATAAATGTTCTTGACGTGTTCCCTTCACAGCAATGATCGGTTGGTAAAAATATACAAACCTTGAAAGCGCTCTGATAAAACTCATCTGCCATTCGTTTCAAATCCTCTTCGTCGATCAGGAAAGCAGGCAGTTTTGATTTGCAATGGGAGCATGTCGTTCTGGTCACTGAGGTTCGAGGCAAAACGAAATGACTCACCCCGAAATCTGAACATCCTCCATCTGTGCTTGGTAGGCCGACGGGACGCGACTGAGGGAACAAGATTACAATCATCTCATACAGAACTCACCTGTTAAACCAGGAGCTGATCACTCTTGCAGTCTGGTCTGAAACGACCCAGATCTTCTCGTGAAGAACAGAAAACAGACGATCTACGTGTTTTAAATCGTTAATGTCACCGAGTCGATCGAAAAACAGGCTGAAAAATCTATCACTGGGAGCTTCGTGATAAGCATTCAAGTTGTCCAGTAAACGGAATGCATCGTCAAAAGAACCAAACTGAATAGCACCTTCGGACAAATTTCGAATGCCACGTGGACGTGAACATGATGGAAGAAACTCAAGCGCTTCGTTCCAGTAGGGCGTGTTGGCCAGAAGTTCGACGAGTTCATCGGAGAAAGCTTTCTTCTGTGCATCGGTTAGCCTTTGAACAAGCGTGTCGAATAAGGAATGGAATTCTTCGAACTGTTTATATGATACCAGGGACCTGAGGGTTTGCATTATCGTCGCGATGTTGTGCGAGTCGGGGGTGGTCAGAACGAAGTCTAACACACCTCGGGATAGTAGAGGGCGTTTGAGCTCATCTGAGACCAGTAAGAATTTTGACCAAAACGCCCCATCAACGGGCTGTGAATTCAGAGTTTGATGCAACTGAATGCAAATATCTTTTGTCGGGTAAAAATCTTCTAGTCGCTCGAGGGCCGATCGAAGGTCTTTTTTAGATATGGGCGTTGAATGTGAAAGAAGTGCCAGTAGATCTGCAGGCTGACGTTTACACGCATGGATCAAAGCAGTCTGCAGAGTTCGATGGACTCCTTTGAAAAGGAACAACTGTGGCATCTGGATATGCGTATCTGGAAGGAAATGCCATCACTTGTTCAACAAGATACAACAAAGAGTAATAAAATTCTAAGTTGCGGTCAACGGAAACGACAGACCGCTCCTTAAGCCATACGACAGTAGATTAGGAACACCAGTAAGTCGTATCCATATTTAGGTCACAAGAAAGGCCTAAAATAACGTGCAGTATGTCAGTATTAATCTAAGGAGGCGACAACAGGAAAAATGAAATTCGGGCGGTCCTAAGGGTGGCCTCTCTTCGAGAGATGCCTTATATCGTAGAGTAATGCGTCAGGTTATGGTGAATAGCAAAAATACTAGTGCTTTCCGATATGATCCTCTTAGTTTCATTCAAACGATTTGGAGGTATTTCGGATATGTGCCGTGCTAATCACCAGAATGTTTGATTTTAACCCAAAGCAAATCTTTTGAGCTTCTCGGTAGGATGCACGGCGAATTTTTCTTACAATCTACAGCCAGACAGCCCTCCGTGGTCCTCAAAATTCTCGAAGCCCGGATGCTTATTATTCCTAACTTGCTTCCAGCACAATCGATCTGGTATGGACCTCAACTACTGAAAGAAACCTAACAACTGTTTAATAGTTGGTATTTGGTCGATCAGCCTTTACCGTACACTTATTGTGTCCGACGCTTCAAGAACACCGACTTTCCAGGAAGGGAGATGGGAGGTGCAGAAACAGCCTACGCGGAAACTCTTGTGGCGCAAATTCACGTTAAAGATATCCAACGGGCTATCTGGAGAACGATAAATCATTTTTAATGGAATGGTGTATTGCCCAGTATATCTCAGTCGGTTGTTGAGACAAGCAAATCGTTGCAACACTGAAAGGTAGGCATTCTTCCCGATGGCACTAATGAAAAGGCCCACAAGTCAGCGTCCCCCACCCGTCCCAAGTGATTAAAATAATACACCAGTGGATTACATATGTGTAGCTAAGGGCATTTTGATAATGATGAACGATTGATACGCACGTGTAATCGACATTTTGGACAAATGTCAGATCCATGATGATTCTGTTGTTGTTGACGTATGTGCGAGGATTCTAGACATCGACTTTCCGCGACATTCAACTTCCCTTATGACAAGTACCAAGGACTGGTCGAGAATCATCGGAGATTTAGCTTACACTGCGATAATCAGTTCCACTGATCTAATATCAACGGCGCTCTTAGCCTATCGTGGGCTGCATGATCACGACTATATCGAACAGCAGACAACTTCGTGTAGATGGAACAAACTACCCATAAGGTAGCTAGAAACTCTTCGACAGCCCAAGATCGGTTTCGAACTTCCTTGGGCTTGTTAGGGAGACAGCCTCCAGTTTCCATCAGCCTTATATACTACCTAAACATGGAATTCTTCATAACTGGTGAAATCCAATCATTTGCGAAGTAAACTGGGGTCAGAAGGGAAACTCCGAAAATGTGGTTCGTTTGCTTTCCGTTTTGATGCTCTAACAGTATCACGTTTCCTAAGCAACAGATAAATAAATTTACTTTGGAAGGCCTTGTACAGGCTTTTACTTTGATCATTGACTCTACAGTGTTCCACTGAGTCTCAATCCACTTAAAAGGTATCCGAATGCAGCTTTGCTGTAGTATCTCGGAGTTCGACCGCATTGACCTTGGTTTGTCATAATCATAATCATAATCATCAGCTGTGAAAACCGCGTACTTGTAGTACAGTGGTTATAGCTGCCACAGTTCCGTTAACCGATGATTTGGGGAGGTGTGGGGGTAACTGCGCACTGGACGCAGTGAATGATATAACAAATGCTTAAATAAAGAGTTGCCAGTAGACTTTTGAGTGTACAGATTGGAAGGGGAGCTATCTAGTAAATGCAATGACTGGGATGAACGAGTGCCACTGAGGGTGCAACTGGGACATTTCTGACCATGTCTCTAACAACTGATGCCTCGGGGTCCCTATCCAGGAAGACTCCATTGACCAACGCAACTGAGTTTACTGGTTGGCAGCCATATCTTGCAGCGTCTCCAACCAGGCGCAGTGAGGATCACGCGGTCCCTATCCTGGAAGGCGAGTAAGACCGACAGCACCCAAACGTTTCGTAATCACCTTCATACCTGTGTGCTAGGTCAAAGGTTGGCCACCTCGCTGTTTACGCCACCCTGGATTTGGCACGTAAAACGGCACTCTTCACAAACGGTGGCGAGGCATACGCTACACATGTCCCAACCAACGCAGCTTCTGGTGCTGGACACATCCTTCAATGGAATTTCCAGTTGCACAACTGAAAAATCGCTTCTAACTGTCTCATTACGGACACGCCGACACCAGACCACACGAGCTATGGTTCTGAGGCAACAATTGTCGAACACCTGAAGACGTCTCAGTACCGCTGCCCGTACTGTAGCTTGATACACACGTCTCTTGAGATTCAGGGATAAACCCATAGGTGTCTCAAGTAAGCAAACGCGACCCGAGCCTTGCAGATTCGTGCACCGACCTCATTCGTCACATTACGTGAAACGCTCCAAAACTTCGAGTGCTTCCCTCTGTGTTCAGCGACCGCATGTCCAGGAGGATGACCTTATACTTTGTGGTCGCAAAGTGCATACCAAAGGACGGGATGACTTTATTCAGTTCATCCAAGAACTCTTGCGTCTTCTCCTCTTAGAAGATGAGAACGATGTCGTCTGCATATTTCAGATCGACAAGGTTTTCGTCACAGGCTTTTTGAACACTGGGGTTTTGGAGACCTTCCAGCGTTCGTCTTATGATTTCATCGATCACAAAGTTAAACAAGAATGGAGAGAGTGGGCATCCCTGACGGACACCACTTCATGTACAGAAGCTTTAGGAGAGCTCGCCGCTTACTCTCACACTCGCAATTCTGGGAATACAAAGTGCTCATTATGTTCACGAACGTCCGGGGCATACCTTGGTGGGCAAACGTGTCAAGCAGAACAGATCGGTCAACCGAGTCAAATGCGGCTTAGAAATTCACGTACACTAGAATTGTGGATCGCTTATGCGCATGGCGTTGTTCTGGCACCTGAGGAAGTGTGAAGATTTAGTCAGCCCAATCCCTACCAGGCCGGAATCCCGCTTCCTGCTCTCGAGTCAGTGTTTCGCGAGTTACCACAAGGCGACGAAGCACCAATGACGCCAACAGTCTCGTTACGACCGGGGTGAAGCTGATCCCCCTGTGGTTGCCACGCCTACAACGAGCCATTTTTTTAAAATGGCTAGTATCACCGACTCTCCCCACTTGTGTTGGACAGACTCCTTTTCCCAAATGCAAGCAAACAGATCAGACAAGCGCTGACTGAGGAGTTCACCCCCATCTTTGAACAATACGGGTGGCCACCAGATGCTCGGTGGCACTTGAGCGAACATATGCAGCCATAAGCCTCTGAGGCCGTAGGCTGTTCCACGTTCACCGTCCATGGGTCCACGTCGCCTGTGGGCCCCAGACGGGTGCCACCCGGTGGCCATGGCAATTGTTTTTCGAAGTATTCGGCGCATCGGTCGAGGCGTTTTTGTTTATTCGAGATCTTCACTTTATTCCGGTCCTTGATGATTTCGCTCACGGGTGGGTTTTGGGGACCGGTCGCACGGATCAACTGAAATAATCTTCGAACTTTACCGGCTTTCTGGGCCTCTTCCATTTCCTTGGCTTCCTGTCTCCACCACACTTCACGGTCGACTTGCTCCAAAAACACCAACGGTCAAACACTGAAAGACTTGACATCCTTGTCATCATCATCATTATCATTAACACATTATTGTTCAACAGTGATGCTTCGCTGCCGTACGTCGTAAGTGGACTGGGTTATTGCCAGGGCACCCACACCTAGACAAGAGGACGATAAGGGTCCTCTGCCAAAGCCTTTGGTTAAAAAGCCTAATCGCAAGGCAGCAGTGTTTGGCGGGGAATGCGAATGCATTACCAATTCTACGGAACAAGTCGCCACAGGTTTCAACTCCCAACCTGGAGGACCAGGAGACTGTTTGTCAGACCCCTAACCAGTGATCAACCTAGTGTGAGAAACTCTGCAAGTGTCGTGCAGGCACTCGTTAGTATAGCTTAATGGGTCGCCGAGGTAAAAAAGAACCGTCACACCACGGTAAGTTCAACTCTCTTCGCAACGTCCTTGCCAGGCAGTGGCTTGGTTTCTGACCGTAAAATAAGCTGATGTTATAGCCACGCCACAGGTGGTGCAGGTTCATGAAAGCTGATCTGGCCTTCCAAATGCGGATCGGAATATCATTTATCGCGAAACTACTGGGACTGATACAAAACAAACTTGTCTACTACTTCAATCGGCTCATCCAAAAGCATGAGGCGCGAGTTCGAGCCAACCCAGTCTTGTAGCAGTACTTTACATCTTGCAGGTATGAAGCGAATGTCGAACCGGGAGGCAAATTATTTAGATTATTTAATATTGTTTGCAGTACCACGGCGTCAGATCCAAGAAGAGCTATGTCGTCTGCGTGCTTGATATCTGTGAGCTAACGCCCGGGAGCACTTCGACCCCACTGGCTTGTAGCGAGTCAACATAGTCGTATCAATGACAAAGTTTAAGAGGGAAGGAGAAAGAAGATAGCCTTGCCTGGAACCACTTGATGTGGTAAACTCAGAAGAGAGATTCCCCTAGAACTTCATATGTCCGCGGGAGATGGCGTATAGCGCCTTAAGGAGGGTCGAGAATCTATAAGGATTACCTTTGCTCCTGTAAGGACAGTCAAGCCCTAACGAACAATTCTACCCTCTGTAATATTTCACTGAGGTTTCATTTTTTTCTGCTGTAGCCGACTAAGCCGCAGCGTCCTTCCATCTGTTCGTCTGCAATATACCGACCTTCATCCAGTATCCTTGTATCTTCTTTGAGGTTTTCCTGCTCAAGTACTAGACTACCAGAGGTGACGGAAAAAAGTTCATCGAGTTAATAAATCACCCAAGTAGCACACAGACACTGTCATATTGCCTGATGGTCTACAGAGTCAAAGGCAG